TAGAGGTGTTTGTAGTGTAGATGTGTGTATGTAGTATAGAGGTGTTTGTAGCGTAGATGTGTGTATGTAGTATAGAGGTGTTTGTAGTGTAGATGTGTGTATGTAATATAGTAGTTTTAAAAAAGTAACCTAGATTTTGTCAGAATTTTTTACCTGGAATTGTTTTTAATTGGCAAATGCAGATTTCGAACTTTCTACTCAATTTATAATTTTCCTCCAAGCCGCATTAGAGTTTTTATCGATCAGTTCAAATAATTCGTTTTAGAGTAAAAAAATTACAATAATGCATTAGAACTTGATAGATAAAACCACTCCAAATTTTCTTTCATTASAATGGCGCTTTGCTCTTTAATACCACTGGTAATCAAACGCCGCGCATCATAATTCAAATGATTTCATCTCGTGTTGATTTAATAATGAATCATGGGTAAATCTCTCGTATACACGATATCGTAATTCACCGGTAATCATTTCACAAAAAAAAAATATTCAAAGCTTTTCGCCGAAWGAATTAATATTCATAAAAATAGATTTGGTACTAATGGYACACTCGCCGCTTCCGCGGCAATCACAAACATCATGATAAGCCATCGATCTTACTAGAACACGGTTCAATAGTGTATCCGCGGTGGTTATTTYACCATGTCTTTATCATGTTSTACATGACAGTSAAAAGTTGACTCAGTTAATGGCTGAAACCATAATGTCAACAATTTTGTGAAAGTATTTGTTTTTTCAAAGCTCCTTTTTGTGCATTTGTATTCGCGTTGTTTGTTTTTCAAAACACATGTTAGGGTAATAATAGCATCGTGAGTGTCGTTTTCCGTGCAACGAAGCGAAGAAGTTGTCAGCAAAGATGACAAACATTTCTGAATGAAAACATRAAAACAGCACTCCAGGCAAAATGTGTCTTTCATTAAAGATAACAAGCGTAGATCTGTGGCGCCGAATTCTCCAACCATCSAAACGKCTCACATCACTATAGARTTAATAATCTTGTATATATTTTGTATATTGACGCGACCTGCTGTGATCCCTTTAGTGTGTTAATAGTATAACACCATATTTATTAACAAACATGTGTACTTCTAATCGCCCTATTCACCGCTTCATCATAGGAAGGCGGTAATTCATGTTCAAAACACACACTTCGGTACGACGGCGGTGCTGAATTACTACAATCTTCTTGTTGTTCTCTTCGGTCTGTATGGCTGTACCCGTGCAGTCCTGGGAACAGCATCCATGATGTTCTTGTCGTGTTATTTCTTTGSTCTTCTTGATAAATAGGTTGAGTTGARCACGATGTACTGTGTGTAAGACTTTCTCTTGCCTGTGCTCGCTCCATATGCCGCCGAACGTATTTAGTTTCTTTCAAAAAACAAAAGCACATYACAATAAGAAACACAGTAGACGTTAAAATTGCTGCGGATAGAAAACCCGCTCGMGATAAAGTTCTATCTTTAGCTCTGTCTGTTCTTCGTGAGACGTCGACAGGATCGTGTTTTATAACGCATCTAGCGCCTATACATTCAAAGCCGCGTTGGCAATTATAGTCAGCCGTGCACGATGACTTGGCTCGTGTTTGAGGTGTTCTGATTGTTGTATTAATAATCCCAAGTGTTAAGCAGCTTTTCGTCTTATAGCACTTGCCCCTGCAGCATCGGGTCGTATTCAACAGCACATCATAAGTTTTCGAGTGTTTTTGCAAGACACAATCCTCGTGAGCTTGACATGTTCTAGGTAACGAATGCTCAGGTTTACAARCATGTGATACGCATATCGCTCCYCTCTTACAATGCGAGTTGTAAAAACATTCTTTGTCCGTGTTTAAGAAGCATTTTGGCCACGATTTGCAGCGGTCACCACAGCAAACTTGATGTGATTCACAAAGTTCATCCCTATCGCAAGATTCAGCCATAAAGAAGGAGAAAGCAAGTAGTATGAATCTTGTCCACACCATAATCTACCACAATACCTTCCGGTTTTCTGCTAGTCTTGGTCTAAGCTAGGATTAATAGCCCTTAAAGCATCAATTGKGAATATGACAGGCCTTAGCTCGATCGTCTTCGCTAATCGTTGCGTGACGGGCTGTTAGAGCAATCATATCACTTCGTCAGCGGTCGCTTTAGATTTCCATAATGGCATAAACAACAAAATCACGAGAGGAAATGATTGGTGGAGCAGTCAAGCTCAAATGACACTATTTGACTTGTGAGGTGTTGTTTGATTGTGGGTTACGAGAATGTGTTTTTAGTATTGTAGATCTTTGATATATCGATGCCATTAACCGCTTGTGCCTGCCATCTGGAAATGTCCATTGTCAACGAGTAATGTAAATCGGCGTCCATCCCCTCGGGGTTATTGTCGGCAGTCTTTTGCAAGGCTAAGAGGGTCGATAAGTAATCATAACGCCCTTAGGCTGCATAACAATCATCGAGTAGTGATTATTTCACATTAATGACTAAAGTATCGTCCTTTTATACCTTGCTTCGTACAAACAAATGCGTTTTGCTTTCGTTTTTTTCATTTTCATTCACTCGGGGACCAACTATAACGACTACAAGACAAAAACGCTGCGGAAAAGCATCATTGTTGATTACCAAGCAGTCATTCTTAGCGGTGAGGTTATTGGCCTGGCTTGAAGGAATTCTATTTTAAGGCTTCGCAAAAGAAATATAAGACATTCCGTGAAAGATATATAGGAAGATTGAATTAATAAAAAAAAACACAGGATACTGGGCAAGACGTGAATACAATCAGACCGGAAGCACAAATAATAAGGGAATATACAAACATGCAAAAGAATATAGTGACATGAATGGAATGGATATGATTTAGATAAATAAAAATAAATACAAGATATAGAGGATATTACATGGTCCCGCGGAGATACGGATTTTATCTTCGGGTGTTGAAAAGAGCGTAGCGAACGAGTGAGAGATTTTCGACACGAGAAGATAAAATTCGTATCTCCAAGCGACCATGTAATATTCTGTTTATCATATAAGTAAATATGAAAGCAAATTATGTCGTAAAATAACTTTTTTCTTACTTCCACTGTATAAAGAAACCTCGAATGGGTTATTTTCACTAGTGAAAATATCAACTCAATGAAACGGAGATCAGAAACTATATGATAAACAAAAAATCCTTGATTAATTAATGAACCATGCACGTAATCTCAGGTACAATATAAAATATAAAAAAAGATATATATCAATCTAAACTTGCAAATCTAAATTAAAACAAAAGACATAATAGGAGGTCAAGCTGAACTGAGTGAGGGCATGTATAATAAAAATCTTGGGGCGCATTCCATTTGTCAGAACTGGCTGGCCAGACCCAGAGAAAATGTCATCATATATCATTCCAATTTAGTTGGGAAATTCAAATTTTCAAATTCTATCCACTATTCTATAGAAAACCTCGAAATGTCTGAAAAATGTTGACAAAAAGCATRATATACCTCTAAATAGAGCGGACTGGCCGGCCAGTTCTACCTAAATGGAAAGCACCCTTGAAATGAAATGAAGCCTAACAGTCAAGGTGAAAGCCCTAGGTAAATGAACAATGACGGGGCACTAAATAACTAAATAAATAAATAAATGGATTAATTAATTAATAAAATAAAATAAAAAACAAAAATGTCATGTTAACAAACAAATACGGCGTTTTGCAAAAAAAATAATGAACTGTAGATTTCAACAAAATGATGAATAAAACATCAGTTACCGATCYATCAGTTGAACGCTGAACGCTGCATTAATTGTTTTACAAACTCCAATCGCATTTATTCAAATAAATCATCAAAATCGTTTTGCTTTTGTTTGTTTGTTCTCGTTTTCTTTCTTTCTCTAATTCTTTCCTTTTTTCTGGTACAAACGTTTATAGTTATGTATGTGTTTATATAATAACAATTTTTGTAGTCAACGTATCGTTTTAAATTGAAAGATTTAAACTCATTCCATTCCATTTATATTTTCATATTTTCTTTTATTTATATCGTTTCTACGGTTTTGAATTGCYATATGAGGAGTGACTAGACACCCTCATAAACCCCCCTCCTCCCCTCCCCCGGACCTGGTCTTTTTCGTGCTGTATTTTGTGTGAGATGAGATAAGACACCAAACCACACTGATTCAAGTTCCTCGTTTCCTGAATGTAATATCTAGCTTACTGCGGTTTACAACAAAAAAGCCGCAAACTTCATCATGGTGCTGATTGTTGGCCGGGTACCGGGTATTTGTCTCGTAAAATTGATCCATGAAGTTTTACTTTAATTTCTCTATTTTCTTTTTCTAATGACGTGGAGTTATTTTGTCAATGTGTGTCTAACACCCACGTCTTGTTGATTGGCTCCGTCATGCATGTTGTTATTGGTTGAAGAGTCACGTAGTAACAGTCATTTCTTCATATTCCACGTTTTGTAAAAATATAAATATTCCATGTTTTTCGGTACTAAGGCTACTAGCTCTTAGACTGACTTTTCGATATTATAAATAAAATCTTTTTTCCACTTATTCAATGCTCTAAAAATATATCTCAAAATATAAACTCATTTTCTTGCCTTATTTCATTATGTAATTCCTGATTCTTATATTCATTTCGGTGTATTTTGCAAATGTATGCTTTAAACGGCTTGATCGTTCAGTTATGTATTATTAAATTCTCATTTTTAGAGAATTGAACTTTTCCAAGTACCGTTCCTACTCCCGACTGCACCAATAAGCCTGTCAATGAACATTATCATGCAATTCCATTTTTTCTTTGACACGATAACTGCCTAAGCCAAATCATCTGTCTCTTTTTATAAATAAAAAAGAAAAAAAATCGGCGGCCATATTGGCGGTGGAGACATCAGAAAGTAATTGACCTTTTCATTAAAGAGTAGGAATGGGTACTAGTTTCTTAAATGAATGYAAAGAAGGAAACACTGCAAGAAAGATCACGCAGAATTACTACATTTATAGTTTATTGTGTATAATTTCCAGCTAAACTGCAACAAGTTAAAAGTCATTGAATTTATCGAGAAGTATATGCCCTAATCATAAATTTCTTTGTAAACTTTAGATAACATTTTGTCATATAAACAGATAGAATAGTTAGATAGAGTAACAAATAGGATAACTTGAAAAACGAGAGATAATGATAATGGATATACAAATAGTTAAATCAATAGCCGACTTGCGAGTTTTGCCTCAGTAGTCACACACAAAGGAATCAAGACGAGGCGTCGTCCATAAAGCTCAGTCAGATCATTCGTGAAAAGACAACACTAGTTTTTCACAATTTACTGAGCTTTACGCACGGTGCCTCGTCTTGATTCTTTTGTGTTTGACGGCTGCAGCGAAATTCGCAAATGTGCAGAATAGATAAAAAAGTTAGATTTCAAACTATTTTCATTGCCTCCCATGTTCACTGAATTCTTGAATTTGCATTGGTGAATTTACTGAATCAGATAAAATAATATATCCATGGATTTAAGGCTAACAAAGTGTAAAAGGGATTGCATTCAGCTTGTGATTCCCCGAAAACTCATGTTCTTTCAACAATCCCGTGTGTTTCTAACACAAAGTAGTAATGCGAAAAACACGTTCTAATGCTTCATTATCGTTACTATGATATATTCATCTCTTGAACATCAGTGAGCACGTAGCTATTGAGCATTTCTCAAACATTCCCATGATTCACAAGACTGGCAGCCATGTTGGAGCAATGAACAATAGATACTAATGAGAAATCCTTGTAGAAGTGCCTCCAAGATGGCCGCTGTACGTAACTTGAAAACGAAGAATCGGATGCAAAGCAGCCTAAGCTGTAGACCTAACGTTTCTCATTTAATTTCAATTGTAAAAAAGACYGATACTGATAAGAACAAACTTATCGCCGCCATGTTGATCATCTGTACAGGAAGAACTAATAAGGAATTCTTTGCTATCTTCAGCAAACATGGCGGATGATGTAATGTCAAACCAAAGAGAATGTCGCGTCCACAAAGTGCCTTTCAAATTATCTAATTTTAAGATACTAAAAAGTGTTCTGCTTTTTAGATATGTTGTTAAGAATTTATCTTTGGCTCATCGCAGGCGGATATTTCAGTATATTTTGCCGTAACTGGATGTGAATGAGAGTCATCGAAGATTGATTATTATTTGTAAATTCTCTCCATTACATCTTTATTGACAAGATAAGGCCATTCGTAAGCCCTAAGGGTCTTACAAACTCGAATGAAAAAAAAATTAAAAGTAACAAAAATAAATCTTAAATTATTTCTTTCTTTTTTCTTAAGAAGTTGGACGTCTTTCGCAATAATGTTTTTACTCKTATTTTTATGCATTTTTAAAGTTTTGGAATCCCTTTGTAGTCAATGGACGTGAAGGACTCAGGAAACCAATCTTTCTTGAATTTTTAATTTATTGCACAGGAATCTTACTATTTCAATGTAATTGATTTTCAGTCATTTAGTGGTGCATTATGATTCTTTCGACTACTGACGTCGATGAGGCACCATGGGACTGACGAAAATACAAACTGAACCATGTTGTCTTCCGATCGTGTTCCAAGCTGAACTGATTCGCAGACAGTTCTTTTATCATAGTCTCAAAAACACGGCAAAACGTATTTTCCCCTTGGCCTCCCCTATCCTTGTTTTTCTTTCTATCTACTAAAGAATTTCCCCCTTTTTTGTCCTTTTTCGAAAACCGACGAATTCTTTGACGAGCGATGTTTTTGAAACTGACCAACAAACCATAATTATATGATAATCATGATAATTGTATTATCATAATATAATATGTAACAAAGTCATTATGGCTAATTTAGGTGGCTGGAAACTTAATTTGCGGGTGCCTCGTGGAAAAAAAAACATGTAACTTTGACATCACGTCAAATCAATCTCAAGATGTGTTGTATTGGTTTCAATAATGATAAATTCGTAATGTATGACATATTAACAATCAAAAATCGAGTGACAATTTTTCAAAAGTTAATGTATAAAATTAAGTACAATATATATTTTATCGTTATATGTAAGTAGTGTACGTCATTATGGAATAACCTCTCGTTCCTAGGATAAAACAATCATTTTGTGCATAGATTCGAGTCTATTCCCGTCTATACTGGAATCCTAAGAATAATCAATGATACTAAAAGTTAAAAGTGTGTAGGCACTTATTATAGTTTACTTATAATTCTGGCCATTTTCAATTGAATTTGAAAGTACGWATTTTTGACATATAATTCGATATTTCACCCACTTAACTTCAAAGCAAAAAGTATTGATTCAAAAAACGCCGATACGGTTTTTTTTCCTGACCAAGTGCTTAAAGATATTGCATGGAAAAAAGGGTTGTTTTCTACAAACGTTTTGCAAGTTAAGTTGGTAACTTTAAGCTCATTAATGTTT